AAACTTTCAATTATTTTGTATCATGATATGACCATTGCTTATACTATTGTGATTTTTATGATTATATAATGATGAAAAATGACTCGTATAGAAATTTGAATAATGTTATTTTTTTTCTTAGTCTTTTTGAATTTATGACATTTATTTTCCACATAGTTGTTTCTTAACAGGTACTTTGTAGAAAATTCTGATCAACTGATGAATAAATATATTGAAATTAGATTATATTAAGTTAATAAAGAAGTACAGTTATCAAGTCGAATTACCAAATCAGTTTTACATCCTTATTATGACTTCATACATCTTATTTTTCGCGTAATTATTTATGAATGATATCAATTTATTATTTAAACTTTAAATTGAAAAAAAAAAAAGAACATGATTTTATTTGATTATTATTGTTTATGAGCACAAGCCAGAAAATTTGGTTGGTTATAATAAAAGTCGATTGTTTTATCAGTACATGCTTCTCCTCCACTTGGACCAACATGTCGACAATGTATAGATGGAAATAAAGGTACAAAATATGTATGAACAAAACGGCAAATAACATTTCCTTGATCTGCTCTATCATAAGTACCATAAGGTATTTGTGTTCTTAAAAATTGTTGACAATCATTGAAACTTGAATATTGTTGTAATGTTCCTGTACAGAATCTTTGTGTAACAGTACATATCGTATTTATTTTTGCTTCACGTTGTTCATTTGTACGTGGATCTAATGTTAATCCGGGATTTCGTATTTGTCCATCATATCCACATACTTTATAATTTTTATCAAAAGCAATAGCTGTAAAAAAGGTCATTCGTGTATTATTAGTACCTAAATATGCTATAAATTCAATGTGTGTGATCAAATATTTTTCATCATAAGCAATTCGTACTAAATCAAATGATTGAATAGCATTTTCTCGTGGTGGTAAATTTCGTATTGGACAAAGAATTCCATATAAATACTCAAGAGCTAATATTGTGCTTGGAAATGTTCCAACTGGTATAACACGACCCGATAAACCTTTTGGAGATATATATTGAGATTGTGTATTATTATCATCGAATAAAACTTGAGAACAGCGTGGAGGTAATAATGATGATAATGATCGATATGTGGCATGGTATAATCGTTCATAAATCTCGTTTTTATTCTTTTTTGAATTAGGCCATTTTCGACATTGACAAAAATTCATCATTATGAATAGAACTAGTAATAATTGCCAAAATGATAATTTCATTTTTATTTATGTTAATTGTAAAATTTCAAGACAAAGATCTAAAAATAATATAAAAAAAAAAACAAGGAAATGATAATGTTAATTGTATGTCGTTGTTTAGTCTTTATAAAATTGCATTATTCATATAACATTGAATAACTCAATCAACAAACTACTAAATTATAGCTAGGTTTTTTTTAAATATATATACTCGAAAATAAGAGTCTCGGAATTTATCGATTGTTTCTGCTTGATTGGACATATTTATCATAATAATATATTTTAGTCGTTATTTGCCCCTGATTGACATCAATGTTGATGATAAAATTTTCATTCTTAGAGATGAGTATTACAAAATCCTACATTACTATTGGCTGTTACGGTTGGTATATGCAATTAATGGGTTTATATCGATCAATGTAAAACAAACAAACAAATTTGCAGTGCATAGTCCAATATATATATATAAAACATTCGAGTATTTTAAAATATAAGCAAAAAAAAAACAGAATTAAAATTGTCTAGGATGTTTCATCGCAATATTTTCTTTTTCATGACTACTACTCAAATATATTACAATAGAATGACATGAAACTTTGATAAGATTATTGTGAACGATTCAGAAGAAATCATTCCTGAAACAAAAATAGTGTTTATTGTTTTTTTTTGTCACGAAAACAAAAATATATTTGTTTCTTTCGACCTTATACAATCATTTTCAACCTTATAATATACCAAATAGAAGAAAAGGTAAAGCAAAAAAAAACAAAACAAAGCAAAATAATTTCTTGTTTTAACATAAATCTACAACTATAATATAACATGATTTAGAGATGAATGAAAATTAATAGATGGCTCATATCTTCTCTGCATGTTTCATTACTATTATATGTTAGAAAATAATTGCTAAGAGTGATAGACATTTTCATATAAGAGATCATTGCTCAAGCACATTTTTGAATAGACATTTTTCAAATAACAGCTGAGAACCAATTCTTTCAATTGATATGATCAAAATCATAATGCTTTCCGAGCATATAATATGGAAAAAAATTCGGATTTTCAAAGAAAATCCAGTAACTTCAAAAAAACAAAATCCGATAGGCTTTTGTATTACTATCTTTGATAAAAAAATAAGCGTCTTGTTTTTATCGATAGATGATTGTTTCATGTGACGTAGATTATTTTTATTTTTGTTGATTACAATTTAAACTGATTAAATAATAAGATAAATGATGATTTTAACTGTCAAGTTAGCTTGCATATTGTATCAATCAAAAGCATAAAGGGTAACAGATTGTCAGATAAGGAATGAGTAAGAAAATATGTGATGACGTAGCATGTTGTTTTTTATACGTATGGATTATTAATGATATCAAATGAAACAAAGATATTGAGCAGTTTTTTATGTTAATCTTCAATTGATATATTCTGAACACCATTCTTCTTAGTTTCATGAAGAAAAAAAAGCGTTGTTATTAAATGATTATTTTGAAAATTTTAAACACAAAATACTAAATTAAGTGATAAATCTGGATCATATTTTTTTGTGCATCGATTAAAACTAGACATCAAAGTGTTACATATGATAATAGTCATATTGGAGAAATGATTTCATTGTCAAACAAGCATGATGATGATAATCATACTGGCATCCCCCCGATAGTCCGTAGAAAAAGATGAACGTCATTTGCAAAAAAAA